TTTTGGGGGGGGGGGGAGGTTTCACTGACTTTGAGATGATAAAAATGGGTACCCATCGTCTTCTTCTTCACCCACTGAATTATATAAAAAGGAAAAGAAAAAGGAGTTTCCAATTCCCAATGCTGAGAAGAGATTTCTGGAGCTGAAACCAGAGAGGGAAGAAGGATTTGAGGTGTGATGATGATCACCGCCTTTGTGAAGCCCTAGAAAGGCGATTTGAAGGAGGCAGATAAGGAATTTGCAGTGCGTGTGTGTGTGTGTGAGGAAGATATAGATATAATAATTTCTTCTGCTGATAGGGCAGTGGGTTTGGTGAGCTTTCACGTGCTCTGCTCTGCTCTTTCATCATCCATTTCAGTGGCTCTGCTCTCGCCACATCTTCTTCTCCAATCAATCAATTTCCTTCTTCTTCTTCTTCTTCTTCTGCTTCTTCTTCTTCGGTTCTCGATTTCGCCTCTTTTAACCCTCACTATGTTAGCCTAGTGCCTTGCAATTGACTCCGAGTGTTCAATAACGACGAGATGGATCGGTCGGCGCTCACTGTTGGTCCAGGAATGGACATTCCGATCATGCATGATAGCGATCGTTACGAGCTTGTGCGGGACATTGGCTCTGGGAATTTCGGGATTGCTAGATTGATGAGAGACAAGCAGACGGGGGAGCTCGTCGCCGTCAAGTACATCGAGAGAGGTGAGAAGGTTAGTGTGATAAAACTGCCATTGCTGTTGTGTTTAGCTTCCTTTGAATTCACTGAGGATTTTACCCCTTTCAAAATGAATTGGCTGAATACCATGAACCTACTTCAACTTTTCTGCTTTTGGTATTCATTTTTCATGATTATTGTGTTTTTTGATTTGAGGAATTGCTTACAGATGGTTCTCTTTATTGTTGTTATCGAATTGGACAACCAAAGTTTTGTTTCTTCTTGATGATGAGTATCTATATTACATGTTCGTGACATTTTTCAATTTATTTTCTTACCTAAGATTAAAAGTTGCTATATGTAAAAAAAAAAAAAAGAAAAAAGAAAAGAAACACACTAACATTAAAAACAGAACAATATTGCAATTAAAATTAAAATCAATTAAATGATTGAGAACATAAAGAAAATTAAATCAGTTGTATATTTCTATATTCTTAAAAGGCACTTGGTATTTTATGAATTTCAAGACATTCTGTGAATTATAAATTCCTTTTTTTAAAAAGAATATTACATCGAATCTATGACTTATTGGAGAAAGTAAAGATGCCTAATTCATTGAGCTATATTGTTGTGAGTTATAAGTTATTATTAAATTATTGTTACAACTTACAAATGTATGTATTACTTGCTTGTATCTCGTAATCCGTGCTTGTAAACATTAATAATTAGTGATTGTTGTTATTATTAGACTAGACCGACTTGGTATAGTTCATCGGTCAAGACATTACTTCGTTCTTTGAAGGTCGACAGATCGGAGAAGAGTTGACAAACATATCACTTGCAATAGACTGCACTAACAAAATATTTTGCTAAGTATTTGATTAGTTTTAATTATATTTAGTTCTGTTAATCAAATGGTGATTTACCAGTTCCATTGCATTTGACAGATAGATGAGAATGTGAAGCGGGAGATAATAAATCACAGATCTTTAAGGCATCCTAACATTGTCAGATTCAAGGAGGTTTGCTTTTTACTTAAATTTGGCCTCATCCTCATCCAGGCAGAAGAATGTTTTCACCTAATATATGACATTGAAACAGGTGATCTTAACCCCAACCCATCTGGCAATTGTGATGGAATATGCATCTGGAGGAGAGCTCTTTGAGCGGATCTGTAATGCTGGGCGGTTCAGTGAGGACGAGGTTTTATAGGTCCATTGAAATTCTTGATTTAGAACCTTGTACCATCGTTACCTGAATTTAGGTTTTCTTGATCTGCAGGCGCGTTTCTTCTTTCAGCAACTCATATCAGGTGTCAGTTATTGTCATGCAATGGTGTGTAAATGATTTACATTTGATGTCTTTATCATTTCCTTTGTGCCCTCAGAGGCGTAAGTCATTGCTAGAAATACTGTGTTTTAAGTAATTGTTAACCTTCACTCATTTTCTGCAGCAAGTATGTCATCGTGATTTGAAATTGGAGAATACATTGCTGGATGGAAGTCCTGCTCCTCGCTTGAAAATTTGTGATTTTGGATACTCCAAGGTACAACTGACTTCTTGTGTTTCTGCGCTGCGAGTAAAATTTTAAGGTTGTTCGAACTCGTATATTTTGACAACAATAAAGACTCCACTGCATTAAGTGTCTTATTTGATGGAATTTTGTTCGTTGTGGTGGAGAAAATTTAGTTGATTCAACTGAATCTGTTGTTTCTTTTGCCTGCACATTTTGATTTGGTGTCTACTTTCAGTCTTCTGTGCTGCACTCACAGCCAAAATCAACGGTTGGCACCCCTGCGTATATTGCTCCTGAGGTGTTGCTTAAGAAAGAGTATGATGGCAAGGTAGTATTATAGCCATTCATATTCTCTCTAAAGTTATAGTCTAAAGCTTTTTATTCAAATGAACTATCAGTTTAAACCCGTACGTTCATGTCTATACATTTCAGATTGCAGACGTGTGGTCGTGTGGGGTGACCTTATATGTCATGTTGGTGGGTGCATACCCCTTTGAGGACCCTGAAGATCCGAAAAACTTTCGTAAAACAATTCAGGTGATAGGCTAAACTTGCTGAATGGATAGTTGGAATTCAATCATTTGGCTAAAACATTTGATTGTTTATTGCAGCGAATCCTGAATGTACAGTACTCAATTCCTGATTATGTTCTTATTTCTCCCGAGTGTCGCCATTTAATCTCTAGGATTTTTGTTGCAGACCCAACAAAGGTTAGACTCACCAATCTTGTTCATACATAAAATAACCCAATCACATGGCAAAATATTACTTTCTAAATGGCTGATGAGATCCTATTTTGATATATGACTTGATGTCAACTTCAATCACCTGGAATAGAGGATAACAATCCCGGAGATAAGAAACCACGAGTGGTTTCTGAAGAATCTTCCAGCCGATCTCGTAGACGAAAGGGTGATGAATAACCAATACGAGGAGCCTGATCAACCCATGCAAACGAGTGAAGAAATCATGCAGATAATCGCCGAGGCTGGCCTTCCCGCTGCCGGGACACAGAGCCTCAACCAGTACCTTACTGGCAGCCTTGATATCGATGACGATATGGAGGACGACCTAGAGACTGATCCTGACCTCGATCTTGATATCGACAGCAGTGGAGAGATTGTCTATGCAATGTAATTGTTTATATACCTTTCAAAGTTTGTAGGGTACAAAGGAGAGTAAGCACATATTGTACCACGCTTAGACCACGAAGGCTGGAGAGATCCTGAACCCATTGGATAGAGGTTTACTGATAGAATTGCAAACCGAGTCCAGTGGATCCATCTGTTTCTATATATAGCTTGGATTTGGGTTTCAATGGTCCACCTTTTACATGTGTTTTCTGTATAATTTGTCTATCACAATACACGCACGCCCCATGATCTGCAGTTGTATATTTTCTGTAGCAAATATTTGAACTTCTTGTCAAACATATGTTTTCATATCTGCATCCAATAATATGAATAGGAAAAAGGAAGATGCAAATAGTAAATTCCCATTTGATGACAAATTCATTACAGGTCCTAAATGGCTATCAAAATATGTATATCAGTTATAAAAAGAGCACAAATAACAATAAGAGTTTTAGGTAAGTTACACCCGATTCACCCCATGGTCAACTTTTTGAATTCGCAGTTTCCTGCACTTGTCCTTCGTTTGAATTCTAATCTCCAAATGATTCAACTCAGTTCATGTGACGGTGGTTCTGGTTGGGTTTGAGCCTCCGTCTGTGGAGGAGCTGGCGATTGTGGCTGGGTTTGAGCCTCTGTCGGTGGAAGAGCTGGTGGTGGTTGTGATTGGGTTTGAGCCTCTGGCTGTGGAGGAGCAGGTGGTTGTGGTTGGGTTTGAGCCTCTGTCTGTGGAAGAGCTGGTGGTTGTGGTTGTGGTTGGGTATGAGTCATAGCCGGGGCCGAGAGGGTTACTTCCTGAGCATACACGCCTGGTGGAGGAGGGTACCCACTCTGTGCGTAGACAGGTTGAAAAGCGACGGGAGGCTGCTCCTGTCCCCCGCTTACTGTTTGATAATAACCAGACTGGTCATTCCCTGTCTGAGGAAGTGATTGGGTCAGGTCGCTCGGGTACGTCCAGTAACCGTTCATAGAGTTGACAACTGGCTGGCTGTCGGAAACTTGGTATGCTGCAGTCGTATATGTACCTTCAGTGTCGGTTCCATTTGTTGATAGCACACCAGGTGGTGCACCTCCGGAGTTAAGGTACATGTTCTGCTGATCGTAAGGTGGAATTTGGTCCGAGTAGTTTTGCCCATAACTCGATACCTGTTGGGAGTAGGTCTGATCATAACCATGAGTGGCGACTGAACCTGGCTGACCATAACCATAGCCAGGATATGGAGGAGCTGACCCAACCTGAGACTGTTGGCCATAGTAATTATATCCTGTACTTTGTTCTGATGGCTGAATACTTGCTTGGTTCGCATGATCCCAGCTTCCTACTTGAGTTGGATAGTTACTATAATACGGAGGCCCTGGGGGCGGAGGATAGGTTCCTGGCGCATATCCATATTGGGGTTGTTGTTGCTGTTGCTGCAAGGGAGGTTGTTGTCCAGCTTGAGACCAATTGGTAGGAGGGGGATAAGTTGATTGGGCATAGCTAGTAGTTTCAGATGTATTCACCAGACGTTTCTGCAGAAAGGGGGGGGGGGGGGGGGG